TATCGACTCAACACCAAAAGATACTCGAAAACACACATAATTTTTTCCCTTTACTTCACATGATCAAAAGTTCATCAAAAAATACAAAAATCACGTTGAACTAAGAATCTATTACGCACGGCGAGGCTCTTTGTTTTTTTGTTTTTTTTTGGTGTATCCCAGGTAAACAATCACCGAGCGCCACCTGGGACAGTTTATGGAGTACCAGAGAGGAGAGACTATGAACCTACTTAGCATTTTATAATAGGTGAGGAATTGAGGATGGGAGGCTACGTAGGGGAGGAGGGGCGAGGAGGAGGAGGGGGAAGGGGGAGGATGGGTAAGGAGGAGGATGGGTAAGGAGGAGGAGGAGTAAGGAGGAAGAGTGGGAAGGAGGAGAAGGACTAAGGAAGAGGAGGGGGAAGGAGGAGGAGGGGTTCTACTGTAGGGTATGGTAGGGTGAGAGTAATGAGTTTCTGAGACGGCGATGGGAAGAGGAAGAGGAGTAGGAGGAAGAGGAAAAGGAAGAGGGGAAGGAGGTAGAAGAAAAGGAAGAGGAGAAGGAAGTGGAGAAGGGAGAGGAAGAAGATTGGAAGGAGGGATGGAGGAAGAGGAGGAGGAAGAGGAGGAAGAGCCAGAACCAAAAAATTAATTGAGGGCGTTGATGGTCAATTAGCCAGAGTTGCAGCAGGTAACTAGAGAATCACTGATGCGAGAACCTGATCCCCGCTACTGGAAGAGAGAGAGAGAGAGAGAGAGAGAGAGAGAGAGAGAGAGAGAGAGAGAGAGACTACTGTACATTACTGTATAATTAATCACATCATTATCACACTAACCATCGGCCATCTCAGTACTCCTTACTATCCAAGTGATCAATAACCACTACTACCAACCACCATCTCAACCACCACCACCAACCACCAACCACCACCACCACTAGCTACCACTATCACCACCATCTATGATTACTACATGCATTATGAGGTCTTATAGCTTATGCAAGGAGAGTTATAAGCAATCTACCCCCCCCCCCTCATTATCTCTCATCACTACATCAACTGTTACTATAAGATTGATTATATCGTTTATTGTTATCATTATTATATCGTTATTATCATTATTATATCGTTATTATCGTTATTGTTAAGTTATTATTATTATTAACGTGTTTCCTTATTCTTCTTCTTTTCTATTAATTATATTATATTATCGTCTTTATATAATCAATTCGTCTGTTCGTGTATAAATCATCCTAATTAATCTTATCTGTTTACCTGTCAGATCTAATCACCTACCTGAATACCAATGTCACCTCTGTACTATATCCCACTTCCTTTCAATATTTTTTTTCTTCCTTCATTTATTCTATCTACGTATTTAAAGTTATCTTCTCTATCCTTTTTAACGAGAAAATATGAGGTTAGGTTAGGTTAGATTTGGTTAGGTTAGGTTTGGTTAGGTTAGGTTTGGTTAGGTTAGGTTTGGTTAGGTTAGGTTTGGTTAGGTTAGGTTTGGTTAGATTAGGTTAGGTTAGGTTAGGTTAGACGTGTTTGGTGAGCGATCGAGGTGTTTGTATTCAGGGAGTACCGCCACATCTGAATACCCCCCCTCAATCACTGCCACCTTCACAAGTCCCTCAAACATGTCCTTCAATACTCTACCTTAAATGGTTCCTACAGATTCCTTATGTTATCCTTTAAAAACCAGGAGCTGTTGTTATGTTATTCTCTTCTATCCTATCAAACCCTTCCTATCCTCTTTCCTCCCCACGACCCCTCCTCCCCTCCCCCCACCTCACCATCCCCCCACCCTCTCATAACTACATCTTCCCCCCACCCAAAAAAAAAATTGATAATAATAAATAAAAACAAATTAACGAAAATAAGTCAATAATTAATCCCTGACGTCAAAACTAATTGGGTAAGTTAAGTTAATAAATCGCCTGAATAACCCTTATCTAGTATGATCTCTCCCTCATTAGCCGGTGTTTATAGGTTCTTACTCCCACTGGTTCAATACGCCTTACTGCCATGATCCCGTAGTCTGTGTTGAGACCTGAGTAATTAGTTCTTTTATTAATACTTAATTATTATTATTATTGTTATTATTATTATTATTATTATTATTATTATTATTATTATTATTATTATTTTATTATTATTATTATTATTTTATTATTATTATTATTATTTTATTATTATTATTATTATTATTATTATTATTATTGTTATTGTTAGTTATTGTTATTATTTTATTATTATTATTATTATTATTATTATTATTATTATTATTATTATTATTATTATTATTATTATTGTTAGTTATTATTATTATTATTATTATTATTATTATTATTATTATTATTATTATTATTATTATTATTATTATTATTATTATTATTATTATTAGCATTATTATTATTTAGTCAGAAAAATTAATGTTCACTTAGGTTAGGCTAGTTCAGACCCTAACCTACCCTAACCTAACTTAACCTAACCATGAAAGTATTCCAGGGACTTTTTATATAAGCTTAATTAATCTCATTTACTTGAAAACAGCTAAATCACTTTAGCCCTTTGGTGTGTTGGCGAGGTGTAGGTGGCGAGGTGTAGGTGGCGAGGTGTAGGTGGCGAGTAGGTGTAGTTAGCGGGGAGTGTTAGTGGCGAGGTGTAGGTGGCGAGGTGTAGGTGGCGAGTAGGTGTAGTTAGCGGGGAGTGTTAGTGGCGAGGTGTAGGTGGCGAGGTGTAGGTGGCGAGTGTTAGGCGAGGTGTGGGTGGCGAGAGGGTCTAGGTAGGTCGTCTCACACACGCATACAAAACGCACACAACACACACGTACACACAAAACACACAGACGCACGCACACAACACACAGTTTCTAGTATTAACCTGAACAATAAAGATAATACCATCTCCTCCGTCACTCCCTGCAGCCTAAGTGGACCAGTGACCAACGCTCTCTCTCTCTCTCTCTCTCTCTCTCTCTCTCTCTCTCTCTCATTTCTTTCCCTTGCACTTTTTCCCTTCTTCCTCCGCCCTTACTTCTCTTGCTTTGTTTCTTTCACCTGTTCTCTCCTCCTCCCCCCCCACCCCACATACAAGCAGCCTCCTCCTCCCCCCACCCCGACATACAAGCACCCCTCTCCCCCACACACACCCCCACATACAAGCAGCCCTCCTCCTCCCCCACCCCGACATACAAGCACCCCCCCGCCCCCACCCCCACATAGCCCCCCCGCCCCCATACACCACTCCGTTCCCTGGGTAAAGACAAAAACAATAAATAATTTACTAAACCTCAAAATCAGGTCAGCTGGGGAAAATATGGCGGTGAGGAAGTCTTGGAGTGTCTACCTGTCTGTGTCAAGGGCGAGGAGGAGGGAGGGGGAAGGGGAAGGGGGTAGGGGAGGGGAAGGGGGGTAGGAGGGAGGGGGAGGGGGGGAGAGAGAAGGACGATAATACCATAAGAACAATTATGATAATATTGAAAACGATAAAAGTAACTGCAATTAACAACATTCAATAACAACAAAAACAATACCAACGACAACAATAACAACGACAACAACAACAACAACTACAACAACAACAACACGAGACGAAAAAAAAATCAAAATAATCGCACCTTCTTTGTGTCTCTTAAATAAAAGTCTGTAAGTTGAAGAAATCAGAATGACCTTTCATGTGACCTAGACCATGACCTCTGACCTACACCATTGACCTCTTATCTTTTACTTGGAGGTTTAAAAAAGATAATTTGAAGCAACTGTCCTCCACTGTGATGGTTTAACGTCTTGTATCCTGAGGCCAGGTTCTGTCTTCAAGGTATAGCTACAGGGGCTTTCAGTCTCACTTGAGGGACATGACATAACCGAATTAACTGAACAAAATTGTGTATGGATAAGATTCTTGATTAAAATTACATGACTTATTTGACAGAAAATTTACACAAATATTTATAAAGAAAGACATACTCGATAACTGGTGATCTTTCTACACACTCACGCTCGCTGGCTCTCTTTCTCTCTCTCTCTCACTGTCTCATTATCTCTCTCTCTTTCTACACACACTCTTAGTTCTCTCTGCCTCCATGCTGCAGCGCCACTAGTCACATTATTGATGAATACAAATGGAACGTAATGTTAGGTTTGTGATAAAAGCTAATTGCTCGACACAGACGGGATATTATTGTTGGTTCTTCTGCTTCGTGTGTTAGTGTTACCACGAGGGAGTATCGCCATGGTTAACTGGGTTCTTTCATCAAGCAGCCAGGCCTGTCATAGGAAAATCGACATAGCTTTGTTTTTGTCCAGTTTCCTTCGTGGTTGTATATGGTAATCGTGTCACCACTGTCGCCTGCAGCTCGATTTAGTTCTTGTCTACATAGCGAGTGTCACTGAAAATTGTTCTCTTGCTAATATAAGACAATTCTCTTCCTCACAATCATCGCCAAACAATCGGCATCAGATCAGTGCTCACGTACACTACTAACAAATTCGTATGTTAATGCTTCGTGTTAAGGAATTTCAGCTAAATACTTATGCAGGACTAAATAACCAGATACGAGCAAAAACTGGCGGGACGCGGGAGGACAAGAGGCAGAGTGCGGTGGTGAGTTGGCCGCACTCTACTGTCGTACCCTTGTGGCGCACTTTTGTGGTGTACTTTTTTTGGCTCACTTGACGCCCGTGTTGACCAGAGGCGCACGTTACCCCCCGCTAGCTGGGCTACTTCATGCCTGCCGCTCCTGCCTCTTGCCTTCTCTTAAATAGGTATTCGTGTAAACTTTTATTGCACAAGTTTCCCCGCGTCTGGAGGCTGAAGCTTTTGAGCTTAAGTTTTCACTCTGGTACCAGCAGCGTGATCAGCGACTTATGAGGAAAATACTAACTTAGTTGTTGATGGTATTTACATGTTTTATTTGTTTGTAATGTCAACAAATACAGAAATCTTCAGGAATAAGAAAATTGATGGAGGACGACCTCAGGTAGTTTCTTGTTTTGTAACAGAAGAAAAAAAACATTTGATTGCCACAATAATTTAATATGTCCTTCATACAGGTACAAAGTTATGATAAAGATTTTATAAATAGCAGAATTATAAATAGTTTAATAAAAAAATAAGGTCACTGGGTTATGAGAGCGACATGGTGGAGTAGGTCAGAGGTCAGGGGTGGAGGTCGGTGAGGCTCACTTGGAGTAATCCTCCCGAGACTGCTGCGCCCTCTGGGCCTCGGCGAAGGCGATCTGCCTTAGGACAAAGTCGGGGATGGGGTGAGGGAACTCAGGAGCCACGGGCAGCAGGTCGGACTGGGGCTGGTAACCAAACTCGTCCGCCACGAACTTGAGTGATGCCACACTACCGTCCTCCAATGGGTAGCTGGAGGAGGAGGAGAAAGTTTGACCATAATTCAATCAGTTCCAAATTATAAATACTTGTATAATTTACACTATAATCAACCAGACGATGATATATAATTAGCAGAAGCTCACCTCCAGTAGCCGATGCTGTTGGCTCCGCCGTTCTCGCCCTGAGAGCCAGACACGTGCAACTTGATACCATTCTCCGCCTCGAAGTCGAAGCTGTGTGCGCCGGTCACGTCTGGGTGATGCTGTTCGCTGTGCAAGATGGCGACGGGAGGGTCGACGAGGGGCTTCTTGTCTGCCAGGACCCCGGCCACCAACACCACCACTAATACAACCTGAAACAACTAAACAACTACCACCAACACTACAACTACTACAAACCAACACAACAACTACCACTAATTGAAACGCAACAATATATCTGCAACTGGCTGAAACTCAACAACAAAATACTTAATCATTACCGCAAATTAAAATACAAAGACACAAGAGCACAAGTTACAGGACAGCAACACTTCACATTCCACGCACCAGACTGATGTACACGTATCTCAAACATGAACAAAGTTACTCGTAAGAACTGTTCTCGGGTTATCTAAGATAATACCAAACCCTCGGCTTAAATCCCCTCAAGAGGTGGCAGACAGCTGTATGTTTACTCACCAGCTTCATCTTAAGAGCACTTCAGCAACCACACTATACAGGTGACAGTTCATCTGCACTCTTTTATACCCAGGTCGCCAAGGTGTCGGGGGTGAGGTGACCATGGATGGGGGGCGGTGATGGTGATATTAGAAAGGGGGAGGGGGGCAGAAGGCTTAGATTGTGGGGGGGAGGAGGGAGGGGAAGGGGGAGAGAAGGTGAAGTAGACTTGTGAGGGGGGGAAGAGAGAGAGATGGAGGGGGGAGGGTTTAAGGAGATTAAGAGACATAATAAGACCTGGGTTTAAGATAAAAGACAGGTCACATAGTAGTAATGTGACCAACGACCTAGTTCGATATATCATTTGTTTTACCTTGGTGGGGCTGAAGGTTAGGCAGGGAAAGTGATGCTGTCCTTTCTGGAGTGTTGAGGCGAGTATATAAAGAGCTGAGCCAGGTCTGGTCACCTACCTCACGAGTCACATGTTTCTTCGTATCTTTACAGTGTGTGACGGTGATGCTGGAGTGCTGATGGTGACGCTGGTGACGAGGACTTGTGACGATAGTGACGATGGTGACGATGGTACAATAAATGAACTTGTACACATCCTCCCAAATACCCCCCCCCCCACACACGAAGCTCAAAACGCACACGACTCTACACACACACACATACACGATCTACATATATCTATATCTACGTACACAAAACGTTATAAATTCACAATAAATATCTGTAAACAAACAGCGATTAGGGAGACACTGACACACACATACACACACAGGCACGCGCTAGGTAGAAACTGACACAGACAGACATGCGCTAAGTAGACGCTGACACACACACGGACAAGCGCTAGGTAGACACACTCGGACACTCGATACCAGAAGCTTCACGGATACACTGCTGCCTTAAGTTAATGTAGAACCTTCTTAAGGATCTCATAAGAAGAAAAAAAATAATAATACCCAGAACAGAATATCACAAAATCGCTGAGATCAAATTAACTTGGGGCCAATTTGCATACATTACCTTCGCAGATTGAGGGGCACTGCTCACGTGTGAAGCGGACTCTCTGGCGTGGAAATTAACTGGTCTTTAGGCTAGGGATAATCTACTCTATGTTTGGGAGTTGGTTATTGTAAGGTTCTGATATTAAGCGGATCAAATTTCCCAGATTAGCCGACCAGGTGAGGAAGACCAGGTTAATTTTGAATCTCTTAAAACTGCCTTGCATCTAAAATTTGTAAGTTAGTTAATTTATAGTCTAAGATATTGGTTAAAATTCTGGAGCTCAGCCAGTCCAAACTCCTGCAGTTAGTTAGATTAATGTTCAGTAACTGATTTATTTAGATTTCATAAAACGATTAGCATATCCAAAAACTTTAGAGTTGGATCTAAAGTTTGAGACGATCAGGTAGCTTTAAAATTATTCTGAGTTTAGCTGACGCACGCACACACACGCACGCACACGCACACACAATCAGCCTCACTCAACACAGAAAGACACCACCCCCCTCCCCTCCTTACAACCTACGATCGATCCGTGGTACCTCAGGTCGCCTTGCAAGTTGGCTGACCACTACCCCACAACGGCCTCGATACCTCATTCCTGGCTTCTGGGTCAGTCCACTCGTGTGGTTCAGCTGTTCAACGCCCTTCACCGAGTTACTGCTGTATGCTGACGTACATTATCAGTAGACAACAAACTAACTCTGGCGTTCATTATTGACTGACGTTCGCCGCTTCGTGTTTCTGCTGTTTTCATAGACTGATTTTTTGAGTTTCTGATTTCAATTGACTGATTTTTAATTGGTGTCGAATTTTTACCGATTTTCAAATATCATCTTGATTTTCTGATTGTTATTTCTGCTAATTGGTATAATTTCTAGTCAACGTATTTCCTTATTTTTAGATTCTGAAAATTTCCTACGATTTTGTTCTTAATATACTGATTTTCACTGACTTCTGATTCACTAATTTACACTACCTGTTCTGAGTTACTCATCAATACTGCCTCTACTGAGTGACTGACGCCTTCCAACTATTTCTCCCGACTCACTGACTCGCCACCTCCATTCAGACTGACCGATCTCCAACTGATTTACCAAATATACTGATTGGTAACTGCAGTTCTTGATACATACAGTAAATTACTATGATCGACCTCTGCTGCTACTCCTACTCCTACTGTGCTGGGGATTTATACCACCGGTTACTAGTTAAGAGCACTGCTAATTGGTTACCTGTGGAATCTTTAATTGGTCTTGTGTTTATGATGCACCTGTAATTAAGTATCTGCTAATTGTCAGGTATTTTGGGAAGGTGATTTAGATGGGAGATGAAGTTAGTGGTGTTTGTTGTTTTTTATTCAGTGTTTGCTTTGGTTTTTATGCTTTTATTTAGGGCTTTTATTCGTTTTTTGTCTGACTTTTATTCTTTGTTTTGTTTTTGTGAGTTGTGTTTGTGTCTTTAGTGACTATTTTAATTTTATTGTATTTCTATTTTTGTTTTTATTTCATTGTTTGTTTGTTTATTCGTTTGTCGTCTATTTAACTCCGTGATTCGTGTTTGTGTAAATATAAAACAAACAATAGTTGTTTTTTCGTTCATTAACTGTCTATGTCATATTTGTCTCCTTACTTCACAAATGCTTATGTATATTAAATTTATTAAAGGTTTATTTAATGTTCCAATGAGTGTCACTTCCTTGGGCCTTTTTCCCATTAGTACTCCAATGACCTTCTGGTACTTCAGTATATAATTTGTTTTCTTCGTGTTTACGTTTTAGTAGTTAATCCGATTCAGATCCGGATTCTGATATAAAAACAAAGAGCCTTAGAGGAGTACTTGCTTGTGCCCGCCACACTGACCCTCTCACTCCCCCTACGTTCTCCTTCCCCTATTCCTATGGTATATTTAGTGGCCCTGGTACCATGTCCCCTTTTCTATACCTTAGCCTCCATACCCCTTTATTCTTGTAGCCTTATCCCCTTAATCCCCCTTCCTCTTCCCCTCCCTTTCTCCATTCCCTGTTTTCTAAATAACCCCTTCCTCCTCCTCTCCCCCCTCCTTCCCGAAATAATCCCCTCCTCCCCCTCTCCCCCTCCTCTTATCCCTTCACCTCTCCCCCTCTCCCTCTTCTCCCATGATACACACACGCACACATGGATGATCCGTTACCTTGACCCAGCAGCCTCAGCCACCTACAGTAGTCAACTAACTCAGCCCCTGGAACCACTAGCCTCAGAATACCATGAGTAGTAGCTGAGACAACTCCTCAATGTACTAAACTCAACACAAGTCAACTGGAAACACTCATTCGAACACTCAACGCCACAATATCCCAACCACTGGAGTCTGATAAACACTCTTTGTGACTTATCTGTGACTGTAATAATTTTTTTGCGTTACTGATCACAGGACGAGTATGTAGTGTATAGGTACACAATAAACTGTTATCCTTGGTAAAAAAAAAATCTTGGATGATTTATGTGTTGCAAAATTTCTCATCGTCCTTTTTTATCTAATTAACAAACAAAAAGTTTCTCTCCTCTACACTTAACACACCTTTGCTTTACCTGCCATGAGGATTATATTACCTGGCAAAATGACACTTAAATCATTTACTGCCTCACCTTACTGGATAATCGAGCTGACGTATACCTGAAGGATGATTAAAAGAGTAGAATTAAATAAAAACAAAAAACTTTAAGTAACTCTAATCGTGTATTCAGGTGAAGACTCGAGGTTACATGAGTCGGATTTATGGATGTCATTCATGGTAGATTATCACTGAGGAAAAACTCTAGTCAGGTGATAATCTGGTGTGAAGTGTCAGGGTGGAAGAGCGTGTAGTTCTTTCTTCTGGTGATAAGACCCTAGGGCGTGGTCTTAGTGTACAAGAGGTGTGGTCTTAGTGTACAGGAAGTGTGGTCTTAGTGTACAAGAGGTGTGGTCTTAGTGTACAGGAGGTGTGGTCTTAGTGTACAGGAGGTGTGGTCTTAGTGTACAAGAGGTGTGGTCTTAGTGTACAGGAGGTGTGGTCTTAGTGTACAAGAGGTGTGGTCTTAGTGTACAGGAGGTGTGGTCTTAGTGTACAGGAGGTGTGGTCTTAGTGTACAGGAGGTGTGGTCTTAGTGAACAGGAGGTGTGGTCATAGTGTACAGGTGTGGTCTTAGTGTACAGGAGGTGTGGTCTCAGTGTACTGGAGGCGTGGTCTTAGTGTACAGGAGGTGTGGTCTCAGTACAGGAGGTGGAGTGTACAGGAGGCGTGGTCTTAGTACAGGAGGCGTGGCAGTGTACAGGAGGTGTGGTCTCCAGTGTACAGGAGGTGTAGTCTTAGTGTACAGGAGGTGTGGTCTTAGTGTACAGGAGGCGTGGTCTTTGTGTACAGGAGGTGACACACACACACACACACACACACACAGCCTCACTGTCTCTGGCTCAGGAAACAAAGACGATATGGAACTCTTCTGAATTCTCACTTAACCTAACTTAACTTAACTTAACTTAACCTAACCTAACCTAACTTAACCTAACCTAACCTAACTTAACGCACATTTACCATTTTGAATTGAGAGGGCGTCTTAGTGCTGAATAAAATCGTCTAGCTTTAGCCAAATAAAATAATAAAAATGGCGTCCCTGTAGTGAAGATGCTAATATATCTAGACCAAGGAACTAAACTCAATATCTGTTGAACAAAGTGTATCGTGGTGGTGTACAAGGTCTGGGTGTGGTGTGGTGTGGTGTAGGTGTAGGTGTGGTGTGGTGTAGGTGTGGTGTGGTGTAGGTGTGGTGTGGGTGTGGTGTGTGTGTGTGTGTCTGGTGTGGGTGGATGTGGGTGGATGAGTGTGGGTGTTGCTGCAAGGATCAGTTCCAGCCTCCGAGCTAATTAGAGCTGAGCCATTGCACCCTTGTAGCTCCGGGTGAGATAGTAACCGAGACAGATTAATGAAGGGAGGATGCTATATTCTGTACGGGAGACATGATTGGTGGAGACAGTTATGAGGTCAAGTGAAGAGGAAGAGGTGTGAGATGATTGGAGGAAGAAGAAGCTTACTAGATGCTTTTAGTCAAACATGATTGGTTGAATTGGTAGTAAAATAAAGCGAAGAGAAATTTGAGGG